GGAGCAGCTTATTTGATTGGAACGAAAGGTGATTGGTGGCGGGCCGGCTAGTGGTGATGGGAACTAATGTGCGGCGCTGGCTGCGCTGGCCCAGGGGGTGATGGGGAGGTGATTGTGGCGGATGGCACGGCGGGGCGCGCGGCGGCGGGAGAGTGCCCGGTTACCCGGCGGGACCACCCGACCCGACCACCCTGGCCCTGGCCGGGGCGGCGCAGCGCGATGGAAAGTAATGGCTTGGCTGGTCGCAGCGTGGTGGTCGGGCACCACGGCCCGGGCTGGGCTCGCTGGGCTCTCCTTTGTCTCCCGCGCGAGTTGCCGCCGCCACCGCTGCCGATCGACGCGCAGCGGGCCCGCCTACTCTGGAAACTCAAGTGTGAAACACGTCCAGGGTTATAAAAGTGCAATACCATGTGCACCACTTTTAAGTGTGGTGTACCACTACACTTGGAAGTGTGAAACATATGTGGTGCGCATAGTGTTGCTCTTACAAACTGTTGGACTGTGTCACACTTGAGTTTCCAGAGTTTATGATGAACGGTATGGAGCAGCTTTGGGAAGCGCAACGTTTATACCGGGTGAGGGGTACCCTCCTCACCTCTCACTTCACCCTTGCGCCCGCCGAGTCGGGGATAGGCAACCCCGCAACACTGCGACGTGTGCTCTGAATCACCCGGTACTGGCGACAGCAGCCATCGCCAAACGCACAACGCTTTTTATTTTTTTCAAAATGAAGTTTAAGTGTCTTTGACACGTCTTGTCGATGTCAAAAAGACGCCAATCTGTAAACTTACACGGCCTGTTGCGTTTGATGTCGCATGTACCCGTTGACGAAAAAAATCAGTGACCGCGGTCATGGAGGTTGGGTAATGGGTTCGTCTGGTCGACCGCGGTGCGGCGTGGGGGTTACCGGATACCTGTGGGCTCAGGTGACGAGGGGGAGTGTGACGGCGCGGTCTCTCTTGGCCTCGACAGGTGACCTGGGAGTGGCCTGGCTGACCCTGACCTGCTGCCGCCTGCGGCTGGCGCCCCTCAACCTCCCCGACCTCGACGTGGGCGTCCCCGTGCTGGAGACCTTCCACCAGGACCCGCTCGGCTACATCTCGGAGATGTGCATCGGCCAGCCCTGGGTCCACGTGCTACCGAGGTGAGCTGAGCTAGAGGACGCCGTCCGACGCCGTTGTTCAAACTGTGGCGCCGAGAGGAGCGGATTTGGTGGAATTTCTCCCGCCATAATGTATGCTGAAAATTGCCTGTTTCAGCTTGAAGAGAGGCTTGATCGTGGGGATCAGCAAGACGCTACCCGAGGAGACGCCCTTCAGGAGGTACAAGGACCTGCGGCGACACTGGAAGAACATGGCAAGTACTCTGCACAGCGGGTGACGGTGGTGACGGTCGGGTTGCTTATCACGCCCGACTGGGGGAGCCCGGGGAAATATAGCTGGTGAGGACTCAAGGTCAGAACGGGGTCAAAATGGGGCCTTTGCAGGCCACTGTGACGTCCAAGTCCATACTTTAGAGGACTAGATTTTGACTGTTAAGGTCAAAATGACACCACTTTGACGTCATTTTTATCGTAGTTTTGACTTGGGCGTTCTCGTTGGGAACCTGTTAACCGGATTGTCTGTGTTGTTCATTTGAAGTACCTTCATCGCGGGGTCGGGAGCGGCGCCCAGGTTGCAATCACCCGCCATCTCTTTTATTTTTGTTTTTGTAAAGCGGGAAGGCTGTTTCATCACTGGAATTACACTCTAGCCCTATCCCTGTTATGCCCCACGGGCGAGCAGGCTGTGCGGGAGTCGCCGCCGCCGGGTCCGTGGACAGAGCTGCCATTTCCTGACTATTTCCTGCTAACTTGCCCTTCCTTCTCCCCTCGCAGTACGGATACCGCCTGTCCGAGGAGCCGGCCGACATGTACTGCTCGGTGTACTTCCGCGCCCTGGGCGGCGTGCCCATGACCTACCCGTGGCCGTGCCTCACGCCCAGGATGCCGTCCGGGTTGCGCTGCCTCGACGTGCAGGCCGTCGTGCTGAGCTTCCTGGCCGACGTGGCGCTCAGGATGCCGACGGTGTGCGGCGAGCCGTCGCCCGTGGCCGTGGACGGCATGGCGCGGCTGACGGCCACCCTCTGCACCGCGGCGGCCCCCGAGGCGCAGTACGACGCCGCCGGCGGCGACCCCAACAGCGGCGCACCGCCGCCGCCGCGCCCCAACCTCAGGCCGCTGGCCCTGGGCGAGAACACGTCGCCCTCGCCCCCCAGGAACCAGGACACCGACGACGAGAGCGTCGCGAGCACCTGCCCGCTCAGCCTCGCCACGCAGAGAGATGTGAGTCCTG